AATCAAAATGTGGGTTCGAAGCCTCAAAAAAAAATACTTGCTAATTTCTTCAGACCACAGGCAGTGAAAGACATGGAGACAGACAGAGATTGCTACCAACTCTGGGTTTCAGGAGACACATAGACATTCAGAAGTTCAAGTTATGTCAGCCCAGATCAAGGGACAGACAACCATCTGCACATAATGACTTCATGCCGTACCATGAATGCTAAACTTGAGAGTTTCCTGGGAATGGTCTAGAGCTCCTTTGTCCCTCACTATTGAAAAGAGACAAGAGGCACAAGATTAAGCAAGACTTTCTGTATAAAAGGTCTACTCTGAAGTCCATATTGCTGTTATTTTTGTTGTTTGAAAATCTTGGCTCATATGACCTCATTACAGTCATTTAAAAAGTCATCTTGGCTTTAAAGGACCAAGTGGGAGGGAAAAAATGATGAAAAGTCTTTTAGTTGCCTTGTGGTGGGAGCAGTCAGGATGCAGAATCCCTCCACTTCTTCCCAGACCTCAGAATAAAGGTGGAGGAAGGAGCATCATTCCTCTTGGGCCACGTTCATTCTTTGCACTCTGCTGAAATGTGTTCTACGCTCCCCTCCATCCCTATGATGGAGGTATGGAGCTATTGATGATTTAGACTGAGCCTCTGGCAGGAGGTTAGTCTGCAAGGTCCCAGATTGCCTTAGCATCTCCATCACCCTGGCCTTGACTCCACTGCGTCAATAAAAGTTCCCAAAAGACTTTTGGGGATATTTCATATCCCCACCACCATGGATGAGTGCAGAGGTTTGCGGCACGAGACTTTCTGTGTCCTTTACTGGAAGCTCGAGGTTGAGTCTAATAGTTGCATCACTGAGACATGTAAAATCCCGATGAAAGAAGGGCGACTACACCAGGTGATGCTTGGGAGGTGGGGGTTCTACAAATATCATGACCAACAACCAAAGGACGCGTTTCTATGAAGATCTGGAGCCTCTATATTCTTCTGTCTTTGGACAGAGGGTCAGAGGGTCAGTGCTCAGTGCCTACTCCCTGAGCAGGACCACAGAACTTGCTTCTAGTATTCTCCTTAGCATGTGTGGCAGCATCTCCAGAAGAAAGCAACACGTCAAGCTCTTGCTCCAGTAATCTGGGGGTAATCCCTGTCTCTTTTCTATCTCTTTGTCAGACTCTGCCTGTCATCAAGTCACACCGGGCACTGTGGGGTGGGGTGAGCCAAATGGCTATCCTACAGAAACAGACTGTGCGCTCTTGGTAGAGGGCTGATGATAGGAAAGGAAGTTGAGAGCTCCAATTTGACAAGCTCCAAGTGGGCTTTTCTTTGCAATTTCTCTTCTCTGTGAAGTCTGGCCTTGTTCCCACTCCCACAGCTCTCTCCGAGCAGTATCTTACTCCCAGAGGAAGCTGTCACTTAAGAATTAAGATTTGTATGCTTGGGCAGTTCTCCTGAGGTCTAGTTAATCATTTTGTATAGTTGGCATCTCAAACAACTGCAGCTTTTGCATCGAGGTTGGCAGTTTACAAATGTAACCAGAAGCTGGCGTTTCCCATGTGCGTTTTGAGACTTTATAGACAAGGGCACTGAGGTCAATAGATAACCCTGGGAGTGGTCCCCAATAGTAGGCATGTTTCCAAAGGAAAAGGAAGGGAACGGAAACCCTGTCTTAAATTTAATGATGATCTTCACCTTTCTCTAGGGAAACTGGAGGTCAAGCCTTAGATTTAAAAGACCCATAGTAGTTCCTGGAAAAGATGTCCAGCAGCATGCGTTTGATGACTCAGGGCTGACAATTTCCTGGAGAAACAGATCCATCTTACCTTCACTCCTGAACTGGAAACCTGGTCCCATATGTGTGAGTGGGAGTACTGGTGAAAAACGCCTTGTTATTTGTGGGTTATTTCTAGGAGCACGTGGTTTCCATTCAGGCTGATGGTGATCAAGCCGATACAGCGCTGATGGCCATGGAGGAGAGGGAAGCATTTTCTTTTGGAGGTCTCCAGCCCCACTGCCAGAGGGACCCCAGGATGGTGTAGTCTACCCGCCATGTATCACCCAAGACCTTTCTCTAAGATTCAGGGTCATGTAATTCCTAACAGGATGAATTGAGGGGTCACTGTAATACAGACTTGCCTTTTGACAAAAATACTGTCCTTAGAGAGGATAATACTATCATATTGATTATTCCTTTGCAAATCTAACCTTGGAGAAAAATCAAGTAGCTATCCGAGAAGGAAAAGTAGAACAAAGCCTCCCAAAGAAGCTATTTCATTCCCACTGATAGGATCTAGTCTGGGAAGTGTCACTGGGGTGAAAGTTTCTTATTCTGGGAGGGACCCTCTTGGGGACCGGGCCTTCCTGTTGGTGGGGGGCAGCAGTGTGTGCCACGCAGCTCCCTGTGTTCTCTATACAGCCTTGATGCCACATACAGGTTCGACTCCCTGTCTCGGACTTTGCTTCGGTCCTGGGGCCCAAATTGGGTCTTTCAACTTGCCGTGTGATCACGTCTAATAATAAAATTTGACAAGGGAGAGGCTGGACACTGCCAATGTCTAACTGTCCTCAGCAGCAGCTTTCCCTTTTCCTAAGTAACCTTCCCTAGAAGGGCTTCCTGGAAGGAAACAAGGAGAATGCTTCTCGTCACGGGACTGCAAAGAGTCTCCTCATTCCTACTTCGGGCAGACAGAGAAGGTTCTCCAGCTTTGCTTCCATCCCTTGCTCCCTTCCCTGCTGTCTGGCAAAGTGGCTGGCAGGTGCCTCCAGCACTGGGTTGGTGGGTGGGGGGGCTGGACATGGGAGGAGACCTAGGAGAGCCAGACGCCATGCTGGGAGATGCAGACAAGGCCAGGGACATGCGCACCACACAGGGCAGGGAGGGGGTTCGGGCCAAAGTCGTTTCATCTGAGCCACTATGACCAGTCCATTATTTCTTCAATGTCCTGTGACACCGTCCTGGCATTTGTGCCTGTCAATGTTCCCTCTGGATTGTGCGCATTTAATTGTATCTACTTCTTATCTTGGGGGAGCCTCTACATTCTCAGGAGTGGAATGTTGTTCTGAAGGAGTGACAAGTCTGACACCCAGAAGTTTGGGGGAACTCAGTGGGGTGAGTTGAGGACTCTATAAGCAAATGATGGATCCCAGAGTGGAGTCTCAGTGTTTGGTTTGCGAAGGGAAAGCCTCCACTTCTGGGCTGGGGATGGGGGTGGGAGGGCTGAAAGGTCAGACTATCCTCAGTCCGGCAGAAATGTGAAAGTGGGGGGAAAGCAGGGTTTAAGAGAGGGAACCTGGACTGGTGAGGGCCACTTCTCATCAAGGCTCTTGAGGACAGCTGCAGAGTGGTCTTCAAGACAACCTGGGGACACGCCACCCAGCAGGCCCTAGAGGCTGGTTCTTTGGAAGAAGCAAGGAGACTGTAGGCCAGGCAACAGCTCTGCTTAGAGTTTAAGAGATTTTGTTTTTGTTTGGGGGGCCACACCCAGCAATGCTCAGGGGTTACCCTGGCTCTGCGTTCAGGAATCACTCCTGGTAGTACTTAGGGGACCATATAAGATAGCTGGAATCAAACCTGGGTTGGCCACATGTAAGACCAGCATCCTACCTGCTGTAGGACAGCCCCTCCTGGAAGGCACAGCCTCCTGGAAGACTCTGGGCCAGGTGCTTCTGCAGCAAACTAGGGGCCCTGTCTTGTTGGTTGAGCCAGCAGTCCAGGAGAAGCCCTGCACCAAAGCTCAGGAAATCAAGTTTCCAATTCTGCTTCTCGAAATTCAGGTGACTACAAGCCTCGGGTCTTCAAAAAGGAGGAAAGAACACAGCGTGCTTTCTCGGGGCGACTGTCAGGAGCCCAGAACTCCAAGGCCACAGCCATGAGCACAGCCATCTCTGGGGACACTCGGAAAGTGCGGTCATGAAGGGCCACTGTCTTTAATTCTAATAAGCGGGAGGTGTTGCACGGCTATTATCCAAGCGAGGCTGCAGGGGCGGGCGCCATGAATACAAGCTAGTGTTAGGCTCTAAAACAAGGGGAATGGCCTTGATACCAAAGAGAGAGGGAGCTCTGTGTGTTCAAAACCCCTTTGTCCCTCAAAGGCGTTGGGCCTGTCTCTCGCTTTGAAAAGGACACAAGAGGTGGTGACTTGCAGAGCTGGCAGCGACACCTGCCTCCTGCCTCCCAGAAGCCCCTGCGCCGTAGGATCACGGACCTTCTCTCCAGAGAGAGGCAGGGCAGATGCTAAAGCCGAGACACAGGAGCCAGCGGATTCAATAAAGAGCGATTGGTGAGTGCTCGTTCTAGGATAATAAACGGAGCGAGATGTCTGGCTGTGTTTAAAATCAACAAAAGCAGCAGGAACAGCAGAGAGAAGGAGCAGAGAGATCAGCTTGTTTTGAAAGCTGCCAGCAGCGCTGTTTGGGCAGGGGCTGGTGCCAAGGAGCCCCCTAGCGTGCGGGGAAGAGAGGAAACCCAGACAGGGAGGAAGCTGAGGAAGGAGGCGGGCGGTTTCCAGGTCTAAAGGATGCAGATGTGGGCCGAGGCTGGCGGAAGTGTTTCCCTGGACTCCAGCCTCTCTGGGGTTTCTGGTCTGGGAGGCCAATGAATGGAGAGCTCATGTCTGGGCAACGCATAAGAACGGCCACATCTACTGAGCTCTCTGCAGGTGCCTGCCTGTGCCATGCTTCAGTGTCAAGTTCCAGGCAAGGAACCTGGGGGATGGGACTCACCGGCCTGGCCCACGGCTGAGAAGCCCACTTAGAACTGAGCCAGACTCCTTCAGCCCGGCAAGGGCTGACCCTTGGGGTCAGCTACCTGGGGGCTGGGAAGCGCAGAGTGTGAGAGCAAAGGTTTGAAAGAGCTTGGCTGTGAGCGATGTCTAGCAAATGCCGGCCATCCGGTCACCAGATGAAAGGACTTTCCTGCCCAGTTCCCACATGCCCGGGGCTGGCCTGGGTTGGTGAGGTGCCATGGTGGGGGTGTGGAGAAGCAGGAGAAGCCCCCGCCTGCCCGTCTTACCGATGGTGCAGTGCTCGCCGTTCCAGCCTGGGCTGCACTCACACTTGCCGTCCCGGCATGTTCCGTGCTCAGCGCAGCGCGGGTGACAGGCCCGTTGGTCACAGGCCGCCCCCATCCAGCCGTCTTCACAGCGGCAGGTGCCCCCCACGCAGACGCCGTGGCCCCCACAGTCGGCAGCACAGATCTCTGCAGGTGAGGAGGGGAGAGGAGAGATCAGGATGCAGCAAACCACCGTGGGAACGTGGGTCACCCCTGGACACCTACCTGGGCCTCTGGCTGGAAATGAACAATGTCCCCCCTGCTGTGCTCTGTTGCAGGAGGGGACAGTCCCGGGGAACCAGCCTGTGTCCAGTCCCTCCCCCAACAAGTGGGCCTCACTGGAGCCCCCCCAACTTGCTCTTCCCTTTATCTGCCTGTCCCCACCTCTGTGCCACTTCCAAAGGGGACACTTGTGAGCAGATGTGTGGCAAAGTCGGATTTAATTAAAAACCAGTTGTGTGTGAAGACAAAGTCAGGATGAGCCCCTGGGGGCCCAGCGCTGGGTCTGTGGGTCTGGCAGGCCTGTGGAAGGGGTGGGGTGGGGGCTGCTTCCATATGACCCTTCCTTCACATCATTTGGTTTTGGGGCCACACTGGGCAGTGCTATAGCCAGCCTGGTGCATGGGGTCACTCCTGACAGTGGTGGGGGGGGTCTAAGGCTGTGTCAGGGATGGAACCCAGTCCTTCTGCACGCCACGCCTGGGCTCTGTCTCCCTGCCTGGGCCTTATTCTAACAAAGCTGGGTGGGCTGGGGTGGGGGTGGGGGGGCTCAGCCCTGCCGTGGGGTCCCTGCCTACTGCTTCATCACCACGCACCACCATGCACGGCTGAAACAGCCTTTCTGATTCAAAGTCAACACTTGGGGCCACTTCACAGCCAGGCTGCAGTTGTCCAGCCCTCACAAAGGCCCCTGTGTGCAGCGGCACAGAAACTCACGCCTGAGTCCCCACCCTCGGGCTCAGGGCCAGCACGGCTGTGTGCACAGATTGTGGAGGCCTCGAAAAGCAACTGCTTTTGAGGAAACGGCTTGAGCTCTGCAGCCAGCATCACTCTCTGCCAGGGCTCTGATGGAAATTCTGACTCAACTCTGTGCCTCATGGCCCAAGTGGCTTCACATGAAAACCCCAAAGCCTTTCATTTCTTTCCAACTGACTCCAGGGGCTCCCCCCTTCTCCTCCTTTCTACTCGGAACGGTTACAAGTTACGAACAGTCCCGCTCCTTATAGCAAAAAAAAAAAAACTAGATGGAGATCCTAGAAGCTCAGCCACTCAGGTCAGTTCTGAAGGCCATAGCAAACACATCCAGCATTTAACAAGAGATCCGTGAAGGGTCAGAGAAAGTACAGTGGGGACGATTTGCCTTGCACACGGCTGACCTGGGTTGGGTTCCTGGCATCCCATAGGGTCCCCTGAGCTGATGTCTCAGTGCAGAACTAGGAATAATCCCTGAACACTGCTGGACGTGGCAAAAAAGAAAAAAAAATGAAAAAAGAGGGGCCACAGAGATAGTGCAGTGGGGAGGGCGTTTTCCTTGCGTGAGGACATAGAGTCAACAAGAGACGCTCTCTGTGCCAGAATGCAGAATCCAACCTAATCACAACTGAGCCTGAATCCCAAGGGATACCCAAGTTATCTACTGATGTTACTGCCGCTCCATTTTGCCTAGATATCATGAATGGAAGGAAGTCGGGGGTCTGGCCTTGGCTTTGCCCCTTTGCAGTCAGCGAATCTGCAAATTGCAAAGGATGGAATTCCCTGAACTTCACTTTGCAGTATTGCAAAATGGTAGTAGTAATCCCCCACTTCATGACTCTCAGGAGGTTTGTACTTGATCAAAGGTCACACAGAGGAAAGCCACTTTTGGCCGAGTTCACACAGCGAGGTTTACAGTTTACACACAAGTAGCTAAATCATGCTGTGGGAACACCAGGCTACTGTCTTTTCCACCCCCTTAGAAAGCAGACCCCAGGAAGCAACAGGCCACGTGATCACACACGGCCCTTCCCTCTGTCTTAACAGTCTCCCACCATGCCAGGAAACAGGTTAGGAAGCCAAGTCTACAACAGAGAACACACTTGCTTCTCCTTGGGCAGAATCTCCTGGTTCTTCCTGCAGGTCTTGCAGCCATTTTGCACATTTGTGTCAGAGCCTGGGCATTTGAAACGGAAGGACTTGGAGGAGGGAGAGGAGCCAGACACTCGGCCTGGCTTTTCTCACCTGCGGACTGCGGAGGGTCCATCCAGAGGCTGTGCGCAGCGTGATTAGGGCTGGGCACCCCCCCGACCCCCACCCCCAGCATCCTTTTACAGGCTGGGTTGTGAGCTCTTACACAGTTAATGCAAGGGGCCTGAACAGGGCGACCTTGATGTTTATGGGGTGCTGACTGATGGTAACACAAGCCGCCCGGCTGCGTCTCCTCTGCAGATGGTCTCCTCCCAGGGAGCGACCCAGGCTTCTCGGGGGAAGAAACCCCAGCCTGCCCCTTGAGCTATGGCTCCAGTTGCAGTCCCGTTGTTATTACTATTTTTTTTTTTCCAAATGCATTTGGCTCTGGGAGGTCCTTGAAATCAAAGGACTTGCTTTATCCTCCCTTCTCCTTTTTGCTTAGACACTGAGGTGACAAAACAGGACAAGGGCTACAAGACAGCTCTGGAGCAGGGCTTTGGGGAACCGGGAACTTGGTACCTCTGCAGTCCCCAATTCTCCCTGCTGGTAGGTGGGAGAGGGATCAGAGGCCACAGAGCATCCCTGTAGGAGCAACCCCTGTTCATTGGGTTTCTGGATTGGAGTGTAGGTCGTGGGAACATGGTAGGGGTGAGGGATGGTGTGATTCAGGCCTGATGTGGAGGGGTTGACACTCCAGCATGGCGCACACACAGAATCTGTACAGCAGGGTGCAAGTGAAGCCCAGAGCCCAGAGCCGGTACCAGCCAGGGCCCAGCTCTTTGCCCATTCGTACTTCTCTGGGACAGGCACAGATGGACAGCAAAGACCAGCTGGGGAGTCTCCTGACTTAGGTCACACAGCCCATACTGGTGACCCTGTGATGGTGCCGCTGGGCTTTCAGGGGACCGATAGTGGCACTCTCCAACTCCAGGGTGGAGAGCGGAACTGGGGTCTTCTGAGTCTGACAGAGCACACGGTGCACAGGGAGGATGCCCAGCTCCGGACGCCCCGGCTTCCTTACCCTGGGTCCCAGGGAGCATGGCTGAACTCTCGGAGCCAGATTTCTTCACTCCTGGATGGGGAGAAGTGCCACTCTCCCCCACCCGAGAGGACACAGAAGGAGGGGTGAGGCTACAGACCACGCCACATTCACACTGGCTGCCACACCAAGACACTGACAAGAAGGACCTCTGATTGACTTTCCAGAGGTGACCTTGGTGCTTGAGGAGGAAGCTCACCACCAGCACTCAAGCCACCAAAACCAAATTGGAAATTGTTTCTATCCAGAGTCTTGGCCTCCTTCAAAATTCAGGTGAAAATTCATGTGTCCCTGTGCTCCTGGACATGTGTGCCAAGTTTCTGGCTCTCTGTGTGGCTCTCCCAGATGGTCCAGTCCCCGGCCCTGCTGCCTCCCCTGGGCCCTGGCTTCTCTTGGGAGTAAAGGCTTTGTATTTATCTGGCTCCCTGGCATCAGGTCCCAGGCCTGGCACCACGTAAACTTTCAATAAATATTTTTCAAAAGAACAAATGAGTTATGCTGAGACCATATGGTAGTTCCATTAAAAAATATAATTCTATTACATTTTGGTCATGGACTGGAGTGATATCATAGCGGGTAAGGTGTTTGCCTTGCACGCAGCCGGCCAGGGTTAAATTCCTTCGTCTCTTTCGAAGAGCCCGACAAGCTACTAAGAGTATCCCGCCTGCCCGGCAGAGCCTGGCAAGCTCACCGTGGCGTATTCGATATGCTCAAAACAGTAACAACAAGTCTCACAATGGAGACATTACTGGTGCCCCCTCTAGCAAATCGATGAACAACAGGAGAACAGTGGTGCAGACAGTGCTACCTTTTGGTCAGTATTACTATAAGATATATTTCTCTGTTCATTTATGTTTTACATGTCCTTTTACCTAAGGTGAATTTCTTCTTAATAGAATTTCACTTTTTTTTTTAAGAGAGAGACTTGGAGTGAGAGAGTAGGGAGAAGGGAAAGAAAGGAGAGAGAGAGAGAGAGAGAGAGGTAGAGGGGGAATGAGAGATCAGTTAATACTAGTTCATTGGGTCTCAGTTAATCTCAGTATTTATTTATTTATTTATTTATTTTTTGCTTTTTGGGTCACACCTGGAGATGCACAGGGGTTACTCCTGGCTCTACACTCAGGAATTACCCTGGTGGTGCTCAGGTGACCATATGGGATGCTGGGAATCAAACCCAGGTCGGCCACGTGCAAGGCAAACGCCTTACCCGCTGTGCTATTGCTCCAGCCCCTCGCTGGTATTTTTGAAATAAAATAAAATTTCTGAAAGAACACACACACACCCACACACAAAGAACAAATGAGCTTAAGTAAACAAACAGACAATAAACACTCCTTAGCAAAGGTGTCATATTAGAGGGCACGACTTCAGAGTCACATTGTACGCAACGGATTGGAGTAAATACATTCATTTTGGGCATCCGCCTTCTCTGGGGCTGTGCTGAAAAGACGCTCCTCTCTGCCCATCCCCAGCCAGTACTTCTCAAGTGTGTCAGGCTTCTGCTCACCACACCTTTCCCTCCTGTTCTTGCTCTCCCTGCCCCATCTGTGCCCCATCCATCTCTTCCTCCGCTGGATGGTGTCCACTGAGGCAGGTGGACACAGTGAACGAGGGAAAGGGCAGGATGAGGGGAAAGTACAATGCCTGGGTGTGGGTTCCCTGCAGGGTGAGGGTGAGCGACAGCGCCTGCTATGTGCAGCTGTGCTCCAAGCTGTCCATGCCGAGGGACAAGCTCCCCCAGGCTCTTCTCATTAAACATTAATCCCCATAGGAGTCTGGATGGAGCCTGGAACCTGTCTTTATGCTGCTTTAATTTCCCTGGACTTATTTTGCAATCCTGGCCACGAAAATAGTTGGGAAGGGAGGTGGCCCACCCCCACAGGGAGAGGCTGACTTAGAATTTCCTCACTACATTTCTTCCACTTGGAAAGATGCTTCAAAC